GAGATTGAGAAAATGTTAAATTTTTCTATAGTAACTTCTAAAAAATTTTTTGGAATTTTTTTATTTTTTAAAAATTGACCGAATGATTGTTTGGCCGATTCGATAAGTTCATGATTTCGGTAATGAGCGATTATGTAATAATATGCTAAATGACATTTTGTGATTTCGATAATGATTGATATAAATAAAGATATAAATAATAGCAATATAATGTACATTATTATTTTTATCTTTGCTAAATGACATTGTCAAAGCATATTCGTTGGACAATCGTTGAAAAATATTTGGAAGGCTTAACAGTTCGGGTAATTGCCAGACATCTATGTGTTAACATATCTTCCGTAAGTCGAATTCTCATGCAATTTTAGGAAGATCACGTTTATTAAATTTGAATGATATAAAGTATTTTAAAACTTTATTGAATGAAAAACCTGATTGGTACTTGTACAAATTACAATCAGAGACGGAGCTTTGGTTAGGACATAAATTAGTTTATCAACAATTTGCAGCATTGTTTACTGTGGCTGGTAAATGAATTATGCTACTTCAGTTTGCCATTACTTAAAAAAATGGATAATGACTCACAGTTAGAAGCCTTTTTAAAACACGCAGCTTCAGTCATGAAGATCATTATTTTGCACATTACGAAGCTGTGGAAATATAGAAATTATTTATTAAATCTGTTCAACCTGACAATGCACGTATTGAGCTTTTTTTAACCGAATTTTTAGATTTGTATAAGAACGAATATACATCAGAAAATATAGTTATTTCATGAAAAGAAAAAAATGTGAACATTGGCTTTAGAAATTCTAAACTTATTCGAAAATCCAAATCAGACAATGCCAAATTATTACACTTTTCATCAGAACTAAATTCTAATAGATATAATCTTTTATTTACAGCTTATGAAAAAGGAAAATTACGTATGGAGGCTCTTTTAAAACAACACAGATTCACGTAATACATACGGAAGAAAAGATCGTAAAGTTAATATTTATGCTTATGCTCAAATTCAAGAATTATTTCTCAAAGAATTGCTAAATCTAAAGTTATATCATCTAAGCTCAACCCACCCCAATATTTGAGTCGATAAAAAGCCCGGTTGAGAATAGTATTCCTGATTTATCTTCTTCACAAAGTAATCATGACAATGTGAAAGGTAATTCACGAAATTCACGAAAGAGAAAATGTAATTTCACACTATCTGACCAACTTTCTGAGAAAAAGGCCCGGAGGGTTACAAAGGATAATAAAAAGTATATTTGATATTTTTGCTATGAAGTTTCTAAGTTCAACGGGGTAAAATCGTCACCCAAAAAAGTTTCATGACCAATCATGTCTCAATGGGGTGCGCGATGTACTATATAAATCAAAACTATATGTGGTATTATACAAAAACTTAATATCTAAAATTTTATATATCTAATAATTTTATTTATAGTTTTTCGCGAAATTTAAATAGATGCACAGCTCTAACGGTTTATTATTTTGGGATAAAATTTCGCAGAGACC